CAGAAGTGCTGGGAATGGAGGCTATGCCCTGCTGCCACCTGCAGCGAGCTGCACCTGCATCATGCCACCCCCCACCCTGCACCAGCTGGGCCAGGCAGAGGTGGGCACAGCTGGAGAAGCCATGAGAGAAGCCCCCATGGCTGCCTTGCCCAGCCCCATCCTCCACCTGGCTCAGTCTCCTGGCACTTAAAAAAAATGTATAAATAAATAAAAAAGCTCGGCACTGGCAGCAGCAATAGGGGCCTCACAGGGCTGGTGACAGAGCCCCGCACCCCCCCGTTCCGCAATGCGGGGCAGTTGGGGGCAGCAGGGATTCCCCCCCACTTAGCAACCGCACGGGAGCTGCCCCATGGTGCAGGTGCAGTGTGGCTCAGCAGGGTGTCACACGCTGTGTGGGAGCTGGGACAACACCACCTGTCAGCCAGAGCCTGGCACCAGTCAGCCCCAGCAGCCCCAGATCCTGGACAGCGCACAGCACCCTGCTGAGCCATGCTGCACCCATGCAATGTGACAGCTGCCGCGCAGGTGCCAAGCGCGGGGTGATCCCTGCTGCCCCTCTCTGCCCTTCGCTGTGTAGGGGGACTCTGCCACAAGCTCCCAGAGGCCCCAATCGCCACTGCTGCAGTCACAGAGCTTAAAAAAAAAGAGCTGCACTTACTGTCTGCATTTGGGACTTGCAAGGGCTCATGGCAGAGCCCCCCACAAGCAGTGTGGGGCCGTGGGAGGTAGGGTGGCTAGGCAGGGTACTGTGTGCTGTCTGGGAGCTGGGGAAGCTCCACATGTCAGCCAGAGCCTGGCACTGCTCAGTCCCAGTGGCCCCATCTCCCAGACAGTGTGCAGCGCCCTGCCGAGCCGCACTGCACCTGCGCCATGGGGCAGCTGCTGCGCAACTACCAGGCAGGGGGGCAATCCCTGCTGCCCCCCACTGTGCTGCGCTGTGCTTCACAGAGGGGCTCTGCCGTGAGCACCCAGAGGCCTAATCACTGCCTCTGGTGCCGGTGAGTGCGGGGCTTTTTTTCCCCCCTCAAGTGCTGGGACTAGGCTGGGGCCGGGCGGGGGATGGGATGGGGTCAGGCAAGGCAGTCATGGGGGCTTCTCCCACTGGGGCCGCCTGGGAAGAGGCAGGCACAGCAGAGGAGCCACGGGAGAACCTGCAGCCACCTGGCTGTGCCTGCCTCTCCCAGACCAATCTGAATCACCCAATCTCTCCGAATCAGCACTGAATCTTCAGAAGCCGATTCAGCCAGATTGATTTGGGACAGTGATCCGAATCTCTGAATCTAATCACTGTCCTCTGAATCAGCTGAATCCGTACTATTCACACAGGCCTAATATACATCTCTTATTCCGATTCATAAAACAAAATCTAGTCTTCTTAAGTGTCTTTAAAGTGACTCCAATACTTCACTGTCAGTCATTTCCATACCTAATTTAATATTACGACACCTAAGTTAATTTTTTTAGCTAGAGATAAAAAGTCTCTGAAACAACACTGTGAACTGACAGCTGTTACCAGGAATGGCTAACAGAAAGCAAAGTTGCAGAAGAAAGGCTACTATGAATAGTGGGACATCATGACCATTAAAAGTAAGAGAAAATCATTAATATCAGAGGAATGAAGAGACGTTAGCAGGGATCAAATAGATTATAATGATCCATGAAGTCAATTGACTGCCTCAGAACTTCGTTTAATTGAAATGCTACCGCTCCTCCCAGGCTGTTGCTTTTAAAGTTGGGGTGGATCAGGAATCAAAGGGAGGTGCAACTGTACCACTGCACCACCCCCGACCCTGGATCCCCCCTGCCACAAGGGAATTGTGAAGATAAACAAAGATTATGAGGCACTCAGATACTACACATAACAGAGCCATATGTGATGGATAACTTGGCTACTAATCAGCAGGGATTCTAGAAATCAGTTTGCTATAGAAAAATACGGAACTTGCGTGTTTACAGAGAATCTTTAGAATCACTGCGGGGGAAAAAATGTACTGAAAATAATAGGCTTATGGCCACTGTAGCAGCCTGCTGGGGAAGAGAAGTCACCAGCACCCAAGGAAGTTGCCAAGATGGCGGCTGCCCCCTCCTCTCTCTGCCACTGATTGGCTGCGAGGGCTGCCTGTCATGCAGCCCCATCCCTTTCCACCAATCAGTAGTGAGGGGCAGGGCCGTATGAACAACAGCCCTTTTGGCCACTCAGTGGTGAAGGGCAGAGCTGCCACTGGGACTCCTTCACAAAACAGTTTTTCACATTGTTTTTTTTTCCCTAAACATAGTCATGATTTGCTAACATAGGCTTGGCACTTAAAAATCAACTAAATGCTTTGTTTCTTGGGAAACGTTGCAACCTAGTCATAGTCCACATGCCAGAAGTGTTGCCATTTAATATGAGTAAAAGAATGCATTGGCCATTCTTTCAAAATTCATCTGTTAGTAATTTACTGTTGATAGGCAGGATGTACTGTGGATGATCATTATTGATGCAAAACTTTGAAATGTGTATGCCTGAATGTAAATGAATAAAGGTTTTGTAAGTAAAAAAAAAAATCCAGTCCTGCATGTGTTTCTTGTCAATCATGTAAACTAAGCAAGTGTTCAGTTTGTAGTGACAGTTACATTAAAAAAAAAAAAAAAGAGGGCTATATTATGATAGTGTTAAAAAAAAAAAAAAATCAAATCTGGCATAAGTTTCTCTATCTAATATAACCAAATCAAAAGATTAAACACATTTTAGGCTTTTGCCTTTTAATTTGACTAGTCCCAAAATTAATTATGACATGCCATCAAACTTGTACCATGGTTT